CTCATTGGCTGGGGATGTGGGGGAGGAGAGCACACCCCTCATTGGCTGGGGATGCTGGGGAGGAGAGCACACCTCTCATTGTCTCCTTGTTTTTATGATGCGCCCCGGAGCTGCCCTCTTCCCCGTGGGTGATCTCCAGCCTTGGTTTCCTAGCTCACCCAGTATGTGCAATGCCCTTCAACTGTGGGAACCCCCAGAGGGCTCCAGCTACTGGGTGGGGCTGAGTGGAGAGGACAGCCAGCCCACACCACCCATAGCTCACTGAGAGAACACCACAGCTCCGGGTGCAGTGGGCACAGGCTGGGGCACGAGGTGCCCTCTGAGGTGTGTCCTGTCACTCAGAGGCTGAGGACCGAGCACCAGCATGGCACAGACCCCTCTGTAGGGCAGCAGGCACATTGAGTCTGGCCTTGCCTGCCCTGGGGGTCAATGCTGCCCAGGATGAGCAATTTCAGCTGTGGCTTTTCTTCCCCTCAACTTTGCTTGATCCTGTTACACACCTTTAACATTTTAATGTCTTACCCTCAAAATTCTTGAATAGAAAAAAACCCCACCAAAACAAAATAAAATTGTAATGTCATAGGTAATTCTGTAAATAACCAATTGCCTTAAAAGATAATTAACAAAAAACAGAAGTGGAGCCTTCCCAAGCCATCAGCTGCAGGTCATCTCACCTGGCAGAGCCAGCCTGTCTATAAAAGGGAGCAGTATAGCACAGGATGCCACAGCCAGTGCTGGCTGGCCCCGAATGGCCAAGAAGCCTGCTCCAGCGGGACTTCCCCAGCCTCAAGCCAGCAGCTGGTGACCTTGGCTGGTCAGTGTGCAGCCTCCCTCATCCCCCACCACCACATCCAAAAGGTGTTCTGGGAGAAAAACCCCTCACACGCACAGTAGGCGTGGGGGCTGGTCAGGCCGAGTACTTGTGGCCATCACAGTCAGGGCAGGTCTGCAACTTACTGCTAAAGCGGACGGGCTGCGCCACATTTACTGCATGGAAATGTGTGGGGTCACCTCCTCTGGCCCGGCCCTGCCGTGGCTCCACAGTCTCCTTCCCTGAAAGCAAAGGAGAAAGATGTGCATGTGAGTGCTGCTCGTGCAGCCGAGGCGAGGCCAGGAGCAGAGTCCAGTTGTTGGAGCTCTCTTTAGAACTCCATAGAACACAGCTATTCATGTCAAATGGATCACACGTGCTTAATGAAAGTAAGCCTTGGCAGTCTTTTTGGATTTACTGTTATGAAATGGGCTCTCTTTTCGTTGCATTTTCTTTTCTTTATTTCTGAGACAGCCTCAAGCTGTCATCCTGGGTAGAGTGCTGTGGCGTCTCAGTTCACAGCAACCTCAAACTCGGGCTTACGCGATTCTCTTGCCTCAGCCTCCCAAGTAGCTGTGACTACAGGCACCCATCACAATGCCCGCCTATTTTTTTTTCTTTTTTTTGAGACAGAGTCTCACTATGTCGCCCTGGGTAGAGTGCTGTGGTGTCACAGCTCACAGAAACCTCAAACTCTTTGGACTTAAGTGATTCTCCTCCTGCTCCCAAGTAGCTGGGACTACAGGCACCTGCCATAACGCCTGGCTATTTTTTGGCTGTAGTTGTCATTGCTGTTTGGCAGGTCTGGGCTGGGCTCAAACCCGCCACCTCCAGTGTATGTGGCTGATACCCTAGCCACTTGAGCTATAGGCACTGAGCCAGCCTGGCTATGTTTTGGTTGTAGTTGTCATTGTTTGGCAGGCTCAGGCCTTAGCCACTGAGCTACAGGTGCCAAGCCTGCATTTTCTTTTTGTTGTTGTTCTTGTTTTTGAGACACAGTCTCATTCTGTCACCCTAGGTAGAGTGCCATGGAGTCACAGCTCACAGCAACCTCAAACTCTTAGGCTCAAGCAATCCTCCTGCCTCAGCCTCCCGAGTAGTGGGGAGTATAGGTGCCTGCCACCATGCCCAGCTAGTTTTTCTATTTTTAGTAGAGATGGGGTCTCACTTTGCTCAGTCTGGTCTCAATCCTGAGCTCAGGCAATCCCAACCCTCGTCCTCCCAGACTGCTGGGATCACAGGCGTGAGCCACCACACCTGGCTCCATCATTGCATTTTCTAACAGGTTATTGCTAGCATAGCCAAGAGTCCGCCCCTCCTGCCTAAAATCCCTCAGCAGCTCCAGTGCCATCAAGATGCCAGACAAGTGAGTTCTTTCCAGAGCCGAGGCTGCCCTTCTCCCATCCTGACTGGCCTAGAAGCTCCCCACTGGTAGAATGGGGGACCCAACTGTGCAATGCACTTCTATAGTGCTAGTCTTGGGGCCTCAGCTGCCTCTCTGCCCCATATGCCTGCTGCTCCCCTCAGGCTTTGAGGGCTGTGGGCTAGGCCCCAGCATGGTCATGTCTGGCTCCTTGACGCCCACAAAGGCCCTGGAATGTGGCAAGCTTAGTGCATGGGTAGAAGGTGAACAAGAAGCCGAAGATGGCAGAAGAATTCTAGTTTTATATGTCATGATCTATTAACCTGCAGGCTAGCCCTTCCACACACTTCCTGAGTCCTCCGCAGGTAAGTACTGACTCAGAGGAGGGATATAGTTTTCCCAAGACCACGGAGCAGGAAAAAGCCCCAGGCAGTGCCCCTTGTGGGCCCACCCACCCGCCACTAGGCTACACCAGTATGCCCTGATGCAAGGTGACGGGTACCTGGGGCACAGGTAGGTCAGATGGGTGACAAAGACAGACTACTGCCAGCAGGTGCACTCTGGCTGTAGATGGGTGGGTAGCCTGAGGCAGCCTGAGGCAGACTCCGGGCAGGGAGGTGGTTTCCTAGAAAGCCTCCTTCCCTGGCCCCACAGCTGGCAACCCGCCCCCACCCCCACCTGACAAATGTCACTAGCCAGCTGGTTCTGCTGCTTCCTGGACTCTGATGGGGTTTTAATTTAATAAACAACGCATATTCTTCTTACTATAAAATAAATTAGCAATGTAAAATATCTGAGAAGTACAAAAATTTAAAAGACAATCAATAAAGGCAAGAAATCCTTAGTACATAGGGCCTACCCTTCCCATCTCTTTTTTCTATTTTGTATAAAACATATTTACTTCTTTAAAATATTGGGATCACATCAAATTCTCTTATTTCATAACTTGCTTTATAAGCTTCAGACTATGAACAGACTTCCATTTCTTAGATAGGTTTAAAGTTACTCTTGATGTGGTGTAGCAGGCTGTGAATGTGTTTCTTTCCTTAACCACAATCCCTACGCTTTGAGGTGTAGGTTGTCTGCATTTTTTTTCATTCTACGAAATTATATTTACTGCATTACATAACTTGTACAGAAATCCATGTGTGTTCTGCGTCATTTCTTTCTGAGACCCTGATTGTTTGTTTTCTTCACTCACAAAATAGTGATTCCACAGCTCTCAGACAGGTGACAGGGCCTGGCTGCTGTGAGACTGAGTCACTCTGAAATTCAGACGGGCCGCCAGTGTCTGAGAGTCTCCAACATGAAGTGCAGACCCCAGAGGGGGCAGCGCCTCCAAGGCTTCACTGCATTTCCAGGGGAGAAGTCTTTGAGCTACCTCAACACCACAAAATGCAACTTAACCATCTCAGATATTGCTGTGAGTCTGGAACTGTGACCTGGCCCCATGACAGGCCTGACACTGCAGACACCTAGCACTGGGGGTCAGCTCTCCAGTATGGGCAGCCCCGCCACGTCCTGGGTCAGGCCATCTGCAGTGTCCAATGCTCCATACAGGAGACTTGGGGACTCACGGGCCATTCTGAACCAGGGCACCCACAGTACTGAGACCCCTCATAAGGAGGTGGGCAGGCAGAGGAAGGTTGCTGGAGGGGCGTGAAGGGAAGAGCCAGCTGGACTTCTGAGGTGGCTGTACTTAAGCCACCTTGAGGAGGAATGAGGGGCTTTCCCAAAGGCAAAATCTGGGCCAAGCCTGGATATAGTGGCTCATATGCCCCTGGCCCTAAATTCCAGGTCTCCCTGTCTGCTTAGCTGGGCAAGACCTGCAGCTCCACTTTGTAGCTTGGCCCCTTCCCCAGATCAAGCACAGCACCAAGTGACACTGCTCACACAATGACCAGATGGATCTAGGGGAGAGGGAGGGACAGAAAAGGTAACAGAGAGATGCTGCTGGGCTGCACAGGCAAGGCGGGGAGCACCTTGGCAGTGCGAGGGAACCATCTGCAGCCCAGGGCGGGGCCCAGAGAAATTTCAGGGAAGTAAACAGAAGGCCAAACGGTGGTAAAGGAAACCAGCCTGTGGTAAGCAGGCCTCTCTGGCACAGGTGGCAACTCTCCTCCCCATCACTTCTATCTGAATGCTCATCTAGTCAACGCCCAGCCATGCCCACCATGGAAACCCCCCAGCACAGACAAAGGCCTTTGCAGCAAGAAGGGGAAGGTGTGGCTGACGGGACATGCTGATGATGGAGGGACAAGGGCCCTTTATGGTCCTGGGGCAGAGTCTGGGAGTGGCAGAGCACAGTGGGATTAGTGCCCTTAGGACCTCTCAGGACCACCGCTGGCAGTAAAGAACCTTCTCCTTCTCCCTGAGGGCCAGCCTGTGGTGTGCAGCTGGACAGCAGGTCTGGCAGTACCCACTGGGCCCACCCATGTGCAGCCGGAGACAGAGTTCTGTCCAGGACACAGACCCCCAAGGCAGCATGGCCTCACCCCTCTGTGTGCCAGGCACTGCCCTAGGCATGGGGAACACAGCCAGAAACAAAATGGCAAATGATCCTGTCCTCAGCAGTGGCCACGCCCTCCTCTAGCCTCCTCTTCCATCCAGCAAGTGAACAGGGAGGCACTGGGTCCCCATGTTGGGATGGGGACAAGTTCAAATGCATAATCCAACCCTGAGCCCACCCCAGCTCCTAGAAAAGCAGAAACAAGAGCAGCCCCTGGGACCCGATGATCAGGCCACTCTTTTGTGGTTTCAAAAAATAGTTTTTCTTTCTTCACATGTTCCCCCCCAAGACTTCAGAGCACTCCTGGCTGCCCACAGAACGAGCCCTGATACAGGGAGGGGACAGGAGAGCTGACATGGTACTGCAAACCCAAGGAATAGGGAAATGTTTTGCAGGCAAGAAAAGCAGGCTCAGAAGTGTTAGG